TCCTCTAGTTTCTCAAAATCTTTCTCTCTTGGATTGTGAGAGCTTGATTGGTAGAATTGTTGGGAAGATTCATAGCTGGCCTTCCAAGTGTTTGTCCTTTTCAGGGAGGCTGCAGGTTATTCAAGCTGTAATTTTTAGTGTTCAGAAATTTTGGAGTAGAATATTTTCTTGCCTTCTAAAATTTTAAAGCGAGTTGAAGGTTTATGTAATGCGTTTCTTTGGAGGGGCTTGGAAGGTTCAGCTAGAGGTGCTCGAGTTAGTTGGAAGAAATTTTTTATCCGAAATGTAAAGGGGGACTTGGGATTAAGAATATTCTTGTGTGGAATAGGGCTTGTATGATGAGATGTTTGTGGTTTCTCTTTACTCAAACTGGTTCACTCTAGGTGGCTTAGGTTGAAAGGTATGTTCTGAAGGGTTGTTCTCTTTGGCAAGCTCCTCTCAAGAGTAATCATTGTTGGGCTTGGAAGAAGATTCTTAAGGAGAGATGATTATGCTCTTGTTGGTAATTTAGATGGGGAGTCTAAAGCGAGGAAAGCGTAGGAAGCGTTTAGGCCTAAAAAAGATAAGGTTCCTTGGTTCAAAGTTGTTAGGGGCGTCACTCATTTTTTTCTTGGATGGAGTTGCTAGATCGCCGGCCGATGAAGGTTTATATGTTATCTTGGGGGGTTTCGGATTGACCCAACTTGTTCTCTTTGTGGTTTTGAAAATGAATCCAGAGATCATCTTTTTGCTGATTGTGATTTTTCTAGTCATATTTGGTTGAAAATATTGCAGGTTTGTCTTGTTAGTAGGACTATGAATGGTTTGGCGGATATGTTGAGTTGGGTGCAGGATAATGACTGGGGTAAGTCATTGAGGGTTGTTGTCATTCGGATATCTGGGTGTTGTTACCTTTATAATGTTTGGCTGGAGAGGAATGACAAGCTGCATAGGACTAGTCCTGGACATGTTAATGGAGTTATCTTTTGATTATAAATGTTGTTAGGTTGAGGTTGAGGGGTTGTTTAAGAGTTATTGTTGTCCCCCTGATTTTGTTGCAGGGTGGGGTTTTCTCTTTCTTTGGCTTGTTTATGCTAGTTACTAGGTACTAATTTTTGTTCTCTTTGTAATTAGTTCTGTACAGGTTGGTTCTTTTTGGGTGAATAAAAACGTCATTTACCCAAAAAAATGTTGATGTATTAATTTTGTGAATCTATACAATAATTTTCGATTAGGGATAAGTGTGGATTTTTAATTAATATGAGAATTTAACATGATTTTTAGGGTAAAAATCTGCACCTAACATGATATACGCATATATAATTTCTTTTAATCTTATTAAGTAAAATAGATATCTAATTGAAAATAGATATATATATATATATATTATAATTATTTTTAAATATACAAAGAATAATTATAATTTCTATATAATTATAATTATCTTTAAATTTATAAAAATAATTATATTATTATCTTAAGTCGAGTCAATAATCTTAATCTAAATCTAAAAAATAATCGTATAGAATCGAGTCCCGTGCCATCTATACTCTCGACGGATGATGTTTGATGAATATTTCCTAACAAAAAATAGTTATAACAGTCGGCAGAGCCACATGAAGATCCTTCAATTTGAAGCCCACAATTTGTAATTTCCCCACCTTTAACCAATTCAAGTAACACGTCTTTAGCCTGTACTTCTTTGAGATAAGAGCAGCCTAACTTATCATAAACATAAACGTCCAACATGCAATTATTATTTTCTTTAGATAAACTACATATTTAATACCAAATTATCACTTTTGTTACATTTTGACCATTAAACAATTTTTTATTTCAAATTTATATTTAACGTTTAGTTTTAGTTTCATTTTAATTACATGCCGTCAAAAAATTAAAGATGATACTGTTGTGTCATCGTAAGATAATGTCAGATCACAATTGAAAAAAAATTAAAATGTCACATCAACAGTTCTATTAATTTTTCAATGGTGGACAAAATAAAACTAAAACGAAACGTTAGATATATTTTTAAAAAATATAGTTTGTGACCAAAACAAAATAAAAGTGATAGTTAAGATACTAAATGTGTAATTTACCCTTTATTTATGACAAATATTTTAAGAAACGTGCTTTGTCACTTTCGCTTTCATTTACATAAAGCAACCAAAGAGTAAACTCTTCCTTTGTAATAATAAATAATTTCTCTAACAATATATCCAAAAAAATATCAAATAAAAATAATATATATATATATATATATAACATTAAAGTTTATCCTTAATATTTGTCTAAATAATTATTTATGTCCCTATTGTTTTTAAACACTTTATTTTTAATGTTTATTTTTTGATCAAATGGCTAATGATTATAAATTTAAAATTTTTATTATTCTATCCTTAATTCAGTCTATTAAGATAAGATGATAATTTTAAACTAGTAAAATTTCTTGGGTCATCAGAAAATAGATGAATGATAAAGATAACATATCATTATATATAAAAAAATGGAAGACATAAATGAGTATGAATATTTTTAAATTAATACTAACAATTTATTAATTATAATAATAATTTATAGACTTTATAGAAAAAGGTTTAGGGTTATAATTTGAGATTAATGCGAGAGGGGTAAAGTTTGGTGTAAAGAAAAGAAAGGTGATAACTTTGATACCTTCCTTGCTAATGGCCAATTAGGTAGCAACAATTAACAATTTATATTTGGTGTTAAAAAATTGGCAAAACCAATAGCACTTATGTATTGTGTTGTTGGATGTATTAGTTTACATGTCAACATCAATGTTTCAACCCATGAAAATATCTAAAACAAGAGAGGGTTTAGGGCATTTTAATAATCTAATTAATATTAACATAAAACATAGTCTTTGTCACCCTCTTACATTGTCATGTCTTGATTGATTATTGATGTGGACCAATAAAGAGACAAACTTAGATAACAATCAACGTTTGGACCTCTATAAAGAGAGTATTAGATACGAGTATATCATAATCATCACACATATTATATTAAATATGAATATATCATTATCATCATAATTATATTATTATTTTATAATATAGAATTTATGATTTAGGGATTAAGGTTCATATTTGTTCTCTAAAAAACAATCTTCACAATTCCATCATTTAATTCTATAATATTAATTTTTCTAAAATAATTAATTTTGGATCGGATTGAATTTTGTAAAATATGAGGTCGAATAGGATCATGATTAGATTTAGGGTGAAAAATCTCTTACCTGATCTAGGATAATAGTATAATTTTCTTTGACATATTTAGAGAGTTACTATAATACTCAATTTCTATAATTTTTTAATCAGATCCTTATTTTGTCGAATAAAAATAAGAATTTTTGATATTGTGTCGAGCTAAATCAAATGCAGATTTTTATCTAAAAATTCAGGTCGAATCAAGTTCAAATAAAGGGATATGCTTCTTTGATCAGGTCGGATTAACTGATAATCTAACCTATTGTGATCCCTATTATTACATGTAACGATAATCCAACCTTTGACTATTCAACACTAAGAATGTCAATGGGGCAAGTTTTGTGAGGATTTATCCTACTTTGCATTTAATCTAACGAGGATGAATACATATTTTACGGGTGATGAGACGAAAAAAAAAATTAAACTCGTTGTAGATGGTAAGATAGTCTATAATTAGAACATAGAATGGGAGGAAAATTGGGTATTGGGATGGCTAAAAAATGATATTAAAGTCAAAGCAAAACTCATTAAAAAGTTGAGCAAATGAAGTGAATGAACATAGTCCCTTGCTTGTACGAAAGGGCAAATAATTTGACGGCCACTAGTCCAATTTAGTGGCGTTTGCGAACATGGGGGCCGATTCCCTTTAAACAATGCTTTCATGTCCTATTTCTCGCCCATTGTTTCACGGACTGTCCCCTCCGTATCTTACTGCTTTAGCATGTGGTTCAATTACACCAACATGTGTTTAGTTAGCGCAGCATTCGAGAACATATTCGTTTATATATTTCCTAACATGTTTATTTAGAGTTAACCAACATATTAACAAACATGGTGAAATTACACCACTAGTCCTTAAGCTCTTTAACATTATAGTTTGAGCTCTAAAGTTTACTCTATGTTCAATTTAGTTTTTTTATAATACTTGTTATAACTTGCTATTAGATATTATATATAATAATCAACATTTAACTTATTGATCGACTAATTTAGATCGAATATAATAAAAATCTTTCGAAATATATTTGTTTATATATACAATTGATGAGTGGTGAAATCCAATGAATCCGGAATACAACTAGGGTTTTGCCATTTTAGTGGTGACATGATTTAGCACTTATAGTCCCTTATTTTCAATTGGTGATTGTTTTGATACTTAACTCATTAATTAGTATTTGTTTTTAAGTTATTCAAAATCTAATAATTTTATTTTTATCTCAAGAAAAACAATTTAAGATTATAAAATTATAACTTATAATAATAAAAAAATTATTTTGATCTTCCAAAAATTTATAATTTATTTCTAACCCATCCTAAGAAAAAAATCATAGCTGCACCCCTAACATAAAATAAGTGTATTGCAACCCTTAAACCTAAAGACTCGAACTTTTCAATAATATATATTTTAAATAATGTATATTATTAAATTATATAAATATTCTTATTTTACATATAAAAGACGTCAATCCAAATTAAAATTTGTGTTTAAATTCGAACTTAAATACAAATGAACTTAAACGAACTCGAATAATTGAATTTGAATAAAACAAATTGATAATTAAACTTACTTGAACTTGAACTTGAATTGCTTGATTCAATATGGAGCCAAATTGCAGCTTTATTTGACATTTAATCAAATTCGAACTAAATATCGAACTCCAAGATTGAATCCTCAATCTTGAACTTACCATTGTTCAAATTCAACTATTTACAAATAGTTTAACTACAACTTTTGGGCCACATTCATGTTTCTGGGCAATCATTTGATGAGCCCATTAGCATAATATGGCGCATCCAAGTTTTTTCCCAGCCGCTTTGAAGGGTTTTAACTACAAATTTTCCTGCAAATTCCAATCAACTATCCCAAGAAAAAGAGTAGGGGGGAAATGTCTTCAATAGGTACTTCAAAGGGTGTTCTGGAAATCGCCAAATTTGGTCTCTATGTTACGATCCCCATCGTTCTTATGTACACTTTCGCCAACAACACTAAGAATCTCCAGAAATTTATGGGAAATGTGAGCTCTCTTTTATCCCGTCTATTTTTTAATTGAATGGATTGGTTTCGTTTAATTTATTTGAGGTTTGAGATATTTTAATCTGGGGTAAGCTTTAAATCTGATCGAAGTTTGATATTTGTTTGAGTTTCCTGAAATTTGAGTGTTTATTCATTGCTCTTGAACGTGATGTGTTGTTAGAGAGATCGGTGATCTTTTATTTAATGTTAATAATCTGGGTTCTTCCATAGGCTAGTTTGAAGTGGAGTTTGAATCTAAAGTCATAGTTTTGAAGGGCCTGTGTTCTGCAATTTCATGGATGCTACTCTTCCATGAATTTGTAAGTGAGATGGAGTTCAATTAAATCGATAGTTTTGGGCCGATGTTATGAGAGTTTGTGTATGAAAATTCATTTATATTGTTTCAACTTTCGATCCTTATTTTTCGTTAAGCTCCCATGTTCAACACCCATGTTTGATGCATATTTGGTGATGAGTATGGCCCTCCTAGAATCTTCTAAATACATGGAATACCTTAGAAAAGATTGAATATATTTACGTCGACCACGTTATCGTATCTGACACTTACACACGAATCTAAATACATAGAAATTCATTGATGAACTTGTATGCAAGTTAAATGATGAGTTTAAAATCATAGTTTTGGGGCCATGATATGTAAGTGAATTTCATGGTTTACGATTCATTGTATATAGTTCATAATCCGACTATCCATATATGAATCATTTAGTGCTCTATTATTGACACCAAATTTTCCTACTGGGGTACTTGTTCAAATTGTTCATCGACCCCCAAAATCTGGATGGATTCTTATCCATATTAGATTCCTTTCCATCTTTTGCTCTTTGATGATTGAATGTAGGTCAGAATCGCCTGCAATTTCAATGTACAGAATGGTGATTTGCTATTTGATGATTGAATGTAGGTCAGAATCATGTTGATGCTTCTATATATTGTCATAGGTTATTTCTTATTAAGAGTCTAAATCATTTCTGTTTTCCCTTTGAGGTGAAGCGGTCCTATATAGTGTATCCTCCAGAGGGACCAAGACCTCAATCGCCCGAGGAGTTAAGAGAGATGGCTCATGCACTAGCTAGGAGGAAAAATATCCGTTGATGCTCTTTAGGGTTTTAAGTGATCAATGTAGCTTTTCCGGATTGCACCAATTACCATGCCCTTTAGGGATGTAAGTGATCTATGTAGCTTTCCTGGTTGCACCTATGGCTATGTTATTCGGGTATGCAAGTGATTTATGTACCTTTTCCGGTTCCACCTATTACCATTCCGCAAAACCTGTTCTTTGTAAGTATGCTATATAATAAGTATATTGTTTCAAGGAAAGGAAACAATATATGGTTTGTATGACGGCTGATAAAATTTATATCCAAACTTGTATTTTTGCTTACCATGGATATACCTTGTTAAAACCTTTGTATTGTACGTTTGGATGAATCGGTGACGTAATTAAGCCTTCAAATAGCTATTCATGCACAAATTTGAAGGCGTTGGCGAAGTGGCATGATCGACAGATGGGTTTTCTGATGTAGTTGATGCTCTGATGCTCGCTTTATGCAATTTTTGCATATACCAATTCCTGGTTTAAGTAACAGTTTATTGGAAAAGAAATTTAAGTTGAATAACAAAAAGGTTAAATTGCTTCCAAAAAAGTCCCTACATATACCCACAAAGAAGAAAAGGAAAATTGAATTTAACTCTCAAATAATATCCGATTCAGATTGGTTGATTATTGACGGTGATATTAAAGAAGAGGAGATAATTATCTGTTCTTACTTCTGGGCTTTTCATTCAAAGGAATCGGAAAACCTGAATCATAGCATCAAAATGCAGTATCACCCTCAAGGCATGCTTCTCAGCATAGATTTATACAACACAAGCAAGAAGCATTCCGGTTTTATAGGTTCTTATCAATTAGTGTATGACCATATCATAAACCCTGGTCATTGGACCGAGGATACGCGGCGAGGCGCTCGAACCCGCCGATCTTTGTTCTAGGAAACTGAAAGCAGTCGATGTCAGTGGCTGAACCGGGTTTACGACTCTCGGTATATTGAAGCATGTTAACGCTAAGAATGTCACCATTCTTGATCAGTCACCTCACCAGCTTGCCAAGGCTAGGCATGGTTTAACTGTTGATTCTTTTGCTCCTCTTTCCAAGGTTTTCCGGAGATATCCGAATATTATTTGACCTATCCATCTGTGCATTATTATATTTTAAATTTTAAAAACACTTTCTATTACCAGATCAGATCAGATCAAATCCAAATCACTCATTTCGTAAATATATGAATGTTTACAATTCAATTTACGTTATTCAAATAAATCCCACATTATTTTCAAATAGGCATTTAATGCCTAAATTGAGAATTAGATTGATAAATAGTTTATTAAAGCAGTACAAATATTTTGAAGACTCGATTAGAACATTTAAAAAATGTAATAATCACTTTAAACTCCGAAGATATTATGAACCGTAAATATATGGATCGACATGAGACGATGATTCTTTTATCCGGTAAATAATCGGTTTCGCACGATAATACGGTTCTTCATCAATCAAAGAATTTGGTCCCTCGGCACTCTCGATAACATCTCCTGCAGGGCTCAACTCGTTGTTGGTGGAGTCTTTGATTTGCTTGACGTCTCCTACCACGAACTGGATTGAAAGGATCAGGACAAGTGAGAATACAACAAGAGCAATCTTCGCCATATTTGTACAATGAGCTTAAGGATGAGAATGAGATGGAATTTAATGAGGCAACGGGTTTAAAGACGGGAACAAGATGAAATTTAAAGAGTTTAGAATGAAAAACTTACGACGAATTCAGAAATTTGTTAATTAGTATAATACTTAATGACCATACACGTGTAAGATAAAGATAACTTTTCTCCATATTTCTAAATGAACTGTTATTGTCAATAATTTATTATTTTTTAGTTAATTACCATTTTTTTGTAATATGACAGTGAAAATAATTATAAATACACTTTAAATATCATTATTATAAATAGTATATTTATTTAAATATAACAGAAAATTTGATTTGATTTATCTATTTTAAATTCTAAAATTTACTAAAATTATTGCAATTTAAGTTTCATTGTCGAGAAATTAAAAATAGAAAATTTAATAAAAATCAAAATTAAGAAGATTAATTGTTCAAAGCAAAATATGGCATCTGCTTAATTAAAACAAAAAAGTAAAAACTATCAGGGCGAATTATAAAACTATCAGGGTGAATTATAAATTTCCTCACTACATTTTTTTTCTTATTTATTATTTTAAAAAAAATTATTTATTTACTGAAATTTTAAATTATTCATAGTTTGGTCATTATAACGTTAAATAGTTAATGAAGTTTAAAATGATATCATTTTGAAAAAAAACTAAATTTAAACTAAAACTATATCGTTTTAAATCTATGTAAAACTCAATTATCTTTTCATTTTATCTCTTTTCCTCTTTTATTTTTTTCATCCTATCTTTTCTCTTTATTTGTTCAAATTTAGACCACCGCTCACAGTGATTGGTCACTGCATGGACTACTATCGACTGTCTTCAACGGTGTTCAATGAGTTTAAAAAATTCTCATCAAATTTGTTTCGCTCTCCTGAACGTGAATCTGGTTTCTATTTAACTATAAAATATTTCAAACCCTATGAACCTGTCATTTTTTCAATGATTTTTTACAGTCAAATCATATACTAAGAGCTTCCTTTGTCATTCTCTTTTCTTTTTACATGTCATATTTCATCAAAAAAAAAACTTTCGAAAGGCAGACAATTTCAGTTAAATTATTATTTCGACCACCAAATCGTAGTGTGTATGAGATATGTCGTACTCCTCATCCAGTGAAACTCTTTTATCATTAAGATTAGAGAAACGATACTTCGACAGCATAAAATGGGAAAATCCAAAGCTTTATCTTGCTTTTCCTCTCTTTTTCTTATACGTTTATCCCAAGTTTTAATTTATTATAATTTTATCCTCATACTTTATTTAAACTAAAAAGTTAACCTAATGAAATAGTTAAATCTTAAAGTAGTTTGGTGTACTTACATTTACTACATATGGAAGGAGAGGAATTACAGACGATGTCGGGAGACAAATAAGTATACGGGTGATATAATTGATTGTATTAAATAAGTTATTAAGATTAAAATGTATATGAGGATAAGTAGAAGTGATTCTATTAACTTAATTCTTTGCAAGCTTGAGGGATACAAAATTAATCCCTCAGTACATTGTGTTGAAAAATGGGGCAAAGATAACGAAAGAACACAAGAATTTTAACGAGGTTCGACAATGTGCTTATGTCCTCGGTGCCTAGGTGGCGCTAGAAGTTTTATTCAATGTCCTCTTTACTGGTATATTTATGAGCCATACCTATCACATTGTTTGTTCTTGTAGTAACAAGTTATGTTGTTTCTTGGGTAATATACAAAAGGTATTATCCAAAATAATAAATTAGTTAAATATTTTCATTAAATTATTAATCTACAAATACAGGTGACAATGAAACAAGAACGAGACAAATGCTGACAATTTTTGTAATTTTGTAAAATGTAAGATGAAATTCTCACAAATTAAAAGAAATGGACTAACTTTTCAATTTTTATAGAATGAAAGGATGAAATTAATAATTAGACCTGAAAAATAAAACTATCAATTCATCCTTAATTAATAAATAGAAGCCTTTATCTTTTCACATATTATATATTAAAATAAAAATCAGCAAATATTACAATCAAAGGCAGCCAAGTAAATACGGCCCAAGTTTACATCAAATCTCAGCTTTGAGCAAATCAGTTGATAAATTCACAGCTCACAAAACTCCATTTTGAAAGCTTCAATCGAATAAATTTAAGTAAATAAACCCAACACAACCAAAAACAAAATAAATACAGGGACAATGAAACTGTTAACACAAGAAAGTTACACAAAAGGCCAGCTTCAATTGTGTGTTTAATTCATCACAGTTGCACAACACATGCAGGTGCCGAAGAGAGAAGCTCTAGGCTTGCGTTTAACTTTACCTTTTGTTGTACCAGATGTGACAGCCTTAACTGAAACCGAAACCTTTGATGATGTTGTCTCTTTTGTTGCAGATTGGTTGTTTTGTTTAATTGGATTCATTAACATGTTGTTGTTGTTGTTCTCAGCTTCTTCGTCTTCTTTCAAGAAGCCAAGGAGTGGGGTTTTCGACTTCTCGGAATCGCTTCTTTCTAGTGTAACACCTTTCTCATGTGCTGCCATTGATTCATACAGTGATGGGGTTTCACTTTTCTCGGCGTCGGCCACTGGTTTTCCATGATCCGTAACCTCGAGTTGGCTTGAGAAGCTGTCGATGGTGGTCTTGTCTTGGTACAGCAATGGTGTTTGATCCGAGTCTTCGGCTCTTGCATTGATTCTGAGATCGAGATCGAAGCTCGGCGACTTACGCATGGTCGTGTTATCCGAATTCGATTCCATGCTGAGCCTTCCCACACTTTCTAGTTGGTTATGATGATCACCATTGGCAATAGCTTTAGTCTCTGATAGTGTCAATGGAACATACGAGTCTCCATTTTTTCCTCTTGGTGCACCATTTTCAATGGGATTTGAATCTTTGTTATTGCCAACCATTTCTTCTATAATTTTCTTCTCTTCTGTTTCTTCTTTGTGCATTTGATCCATGGGAAATGTGTATGCAGAATCAGTGACCAGTTGAACTTCTTGTTGTGAGTCCTTTTGTTGTTCTTTCTGGTTGTTAATAGATGCATCAACTGGATGACCATTCTCGAGAATCTGTGCCTGGTCATTCATCATATATTGAGGTGAGAATTCACTTGGATCATCAGCTTTTGATCCTTCCTCAGATCCCTTTCCGATCGATTTCTCTATCGCGTCCTCCATCAATGCGCCTTTTTGACTAAGAACTATGCCTTTGTCTTCGGATTCGGAAACTTCGGCCTGGATGTTCTGTGTCTCATCTAAAAGGATAACTTCAACTTGTGGTTCAGGGGAATCATTTTTAGTTGAGTTCATCTCAGTTGGCAACTCTCCAATGCATTTGGCTCCACCTCCCATAGGCAAATTGGTCATTACTGTAGTCATACTTCCTAAATCATTCCCAGGTTCATCTGTTTCCATTTCTATCTCCGGACTTTGGTCGGCAAAAACCCTCACAACCGGATCAGTTGAAGCGCTATAATCTGAAACAAAACCATTTTCCTGATCTTGGCATGTTAAAGATGGTATGAACTTATCCTTACTCTTCAGTGGCCCATTGCACTGTAACACCATTTGTTCAGCACCGATTTCGGTTGATTCATGCTCTTCGGGTTCTAGAACTACTACCGATTCTCGAGGCACAGAATCACCTGATGTAGAAGATTCTTGATCAGATAATGAATTGCTAGCCCCCTCATCTTCAGCTGCAAATTAGCACCAAAAAAACCAAGATGGAAATCTTATGTTCATTGCATATCTAAATGAAGAACATTTTTATAGTCAATTGATACTTATGATGTATCAGTATCTTGTAGTACTCATCATTGAAGAGTACTAACCTTCCTTCATGCGATTCTCATCCTCAACATCGTGAGTTCTTCCAGACAGAACCTCCCCGAAATTCGATTCTTTTTGCATCTCATGATCTTCCAGGTTCTTCGATGAAAAAACTGGTTGGGTTTCACTGCCCTCAACTACTTCACTTGGTTTTGCATCAGCTTCTGTAGACTCAGCTAGAGGATCAAGTTCAGTTTTTCCTTGTTCTGTAAACACCGAAGACAAAAAGTTTCAAACTGATCACTCGAATACGAAACTCAATTAAAAGGGCAAACAGATTCAAGTTCAACTTCTGCATGCTAATGACTTACTAACCTTGCCCTTCCAATGTCTGGTTATCAAGAGTATCATCTACAATCACAAGGTCACCGGAAGCCGATTCGGCCTCTATGTTATTACAATCTTCATCTTCAGCTGCTGGAATTGTTAGATTTTTCCCTTCAGTATCATCTTTTGCCTTAGGTTTCTCTTGTGGTTCAGCACTTGTATTGCTCACTTCTGCGTATACCAGGATTGTAAACAGACAACCATACATTGATAAATAAAACACCGCACGTACTAACCTTTCTCATGCTCTTTCGGATTGTCACCTTGAAGATCGACGGTTCCAAGGGGATCACTCAAAAATGTCCCTGTCTCGGTTCCATGACTACTTTCATCTCCACCTGCAGGAACTAGGAGACCTTCCATATTTGTTTCATCCGTACTAGCACCTTCTTTCAAGGGCAATTCCTCTACTTCAAGAATTGTGCTAGTATGTTGTTCTACATGGATCCATCATCATAGTAAGTCGACAAAATATATCTTTTAGCAAGTGGGAATAACCAACCATACATCAGTAATCAAGATATATCCTAACCTTTCTCATTGTGTGTCGTGTCCTTGATACGGGGAGATGCTAGGCCATCATGTTCAAGAGAAGCCGATTCCGCCTCATTTCCCCGATCATTGTTATCCTCAGCCGCAGGAAATAAATGATCTTGTCCTTTTTCCTTTTCTGCATAACCAGTTTCCTTCATGGAATCTTCCTTATCTACTGGAATCATGTTATTATCTTCTTCTACATCAATCATCATCATCATCATCATATACAGAGAACCATATATTGGCAAATAAAACACTGTATTTCTAACCTTTCTCATGGTCTTTAGGATTGTCACCGTGAAGATCTGCAGTTCCCTCGGGATCACTGGAAACTAAGCATGTTTCATTTGCATAAGTAGCTTTATCTTCAACTAGAGCAAATAATTGACCTTGTATATCCATTACATCTGTGCTACCAGCTTCTTGTGAGGATCGCTCCACGATTTCATCATTTATGTTCATATCCTCTCCTGCGCCGGTTCAACACGGTACGAATATGTAAATCTAATTTAGAAATACTGACGCTGAAACACTGTTTTTTTTTGCATTTGTTCATTGGAATTGGAACATATAGACAACAAAACATCATATCCATTAACCTTTCTCGTCAGGTTTCGGCTTGTCAATACATGGATGAACCATTCCATCACAATCACCTAAAACCAGCCCTGTCTTGCTTCCATGAGTACTTACGTCTCCACCTGCGGGAACTGGGCGAGCTTCTGCATTTATTTCATCTGTACTAGCATCTTCTTTCAAAGGTATTTCCTCTACTTCAAGAAATGTGCTAGTATCTTGTTCTACATCGATCCATCATCATTGTAAGTCGAAAAAAATATACCTTTTAGCAAGTGGGAATAGCCAACCATATATCAGTAATCAAGAGATATCCTAACCTTTCTTATTGTGTGTCGGGTCCTCGATACGGGGAGATGCTAGGCCATCATGTTCAAGAGAAGCCGATTCCGCCTCATTTCCCCGAGCATTGTTATCCTCAGCTGCAGGAAATAGATGATCTTGTCCTTTTTCCTTTTCTGCATAACCAGTTTCTTTCATGGAATCTTCCTTATCTACTGGAATCATGTTATTATCTTCTTCTACATCAATCATCATCATCATCATCATCATATACAGAGAACCATATATTGACAAATAAAACACTGTATTTCTAACCTTTCTCATGGTCTTTAGGATTGTCACCGTGAAGATCTGCCTTTCCCTCGGGATCACTGGAAACTAAGCATGTTTCATTTGCATAAGTAGCTTTATCTTCAACTAGAGCAAGTAATTGACCTTGTCTATCCGTTACATCTGTGCTACCAGCTTCTTGTGAGGATCGCTCCACGATTTCATCATTTATGATATCCTCTCCTGCGCCGGTTCAACACGGTACGAATATGTAAATATAATTTAGAAATACTGACGCTGAAACATTGGTTTTTTGCATTAGTTCATTGGAATTGGAACATATAGACAACAAAACATCATATCCATTAACCTTTCTCGTCAGGTTTCGGCTTGTCAATACATGGATGAACCATTCCATCACAATCACCTAAAACCAGCCCTGTCTTGCTTCCATGAGTACTTCCGTCTCCACCTGCGGGAATTGGGCGAGCTTCTGCATTTATTTCATCTGTACTAGCATCTTCTTTCAAAGGTATTTCCTCTACTTCAAGAAATGTGCTAGTATCTTGTTCTAAATCGATCCATCATCATCGTAAGTAGAAAAAAATTTACCTTGTAGCAAGTGGGAATAGCCAACCATATATCAGTAATCAAGAGATATCCTAACCTTTCTTATTGTGTGTCGGGTCATCGATACGGGGAGATGCTAGGCCATCATGTTCAAGAGAAGCCGATTCCGCCTCATTTCCCCTAGCATTGTTATCCTCAGCTGCAGGAAATAAATGATCTTGTCCTTTTTCCTTTTCTGCATAACCAGTTTCTTTCATGGAATCTTCCTTATCTACTGGAATCATGTTATTATCTTCTTCTACATCAATCATCATCATCATCATATACAGAGAACCATTTATTGGCAAATAAAACACTGTATTTCTAACCTTTCTCATGGTCTTTAGGATTGTCACAGTGAAGATCTGCCTTTCCCTCGGGATCACTGGAAACTAAGCATGTTTCATTTGCATAAGTAGCTTTATCTTCAACTAGAGCAAGTAATTGACCTTGTCTATCCATTACATCTGTGCTACCCGCTTCTTGTGAGGATCGCTCCACGATTTCATCATTTATGTTCATATCCTCTCCTGCGCCGGTTCAACACGGTACGAATATGTAAATATAATTTAGAAATACTGACGCTGAAACATTGTTTTTTTGCATTAGTTCATTGGAATTGGAATATATAGACAACAAAACATCATATCCATTAACCTTTCTCGTTAGGTTTTGGCTTGTCAATACACGGATGAACCATTCCATCACAATCACCTAAAACCAGCCCTGTCTTTCTTCCATGAGTACTTCCGTCTCCACCTGCGGGAACTGGGCGAGCTTCTGCATTTATTTCGTCTGTACTAGCATCTTCTTTCAAAGGTATTTCCTCTACTTCAAGAAATGTGCTAGTATCTTGTTCTACATTAATCCATAATCATTTTAAGTCGAAAAAAATATACTTTTTAGCAAGTGGGAATAGCCAACCAAATATCAGTAATCAAGAGATATCCTAACCTTTCTTATTGTGCGTTGGGTACTCGATACGAGGAGATGCTAGGCCATCATGTTTAAGAGAAGCCGATTCCATCTCATTTCCCCAAGTACTTTTATCCTCAGCTGCAGGAACTAAATGATCTTGTCCATTTGCCTCTTCTTCTTCTGGTGAAGATTGTTCCTCAGCCTCATCTTTTATGGTAATATCTTTTTCTGCATCAGTTCAATAGCAATAGGAATATGTAAGCATAATTAAGAAATACTGATATTGAAACATGTTTTTCATGCGATAATTCATCGGGATAGTAACATGTTTTCCATTGGTTAACCTTTCTCATCATGTTTCTGCTTGTCAACACGTGGATATTCCGTTCCATCGAGACCACTGAAAACCAACTCTGTCTTGGTCCCATGAGTACTTTCATCTCCACCTGCAGGAACTAGGCTATCTCCAGCATCTGTTTCATCTGTACTAGCAGCTTCTTTCAAGGGCATTTCCTCTACTTCAAGGATTGTGCTAGTAGCTTGTGCTGCATCAATCCATCATTGTTATAAATCGAAAACTATCATTTAGCAAGCATGAATAGCCAACCATGATATATACCAACCTTTACAATCGTTCTCCATATCTTCAATACGAGAAGATGCTAGGCCATCCAGTTCAAGATAAGCCGGTTCCATCTCATTTCCCCAAGTTTTTTTATCCTCAGCTGCAGGAACTAAATGATCTTGTCCTTTTACCTCTTCTACATAACCAGCATACCTTAGCAAGTTCCTGCCAAATTGACAACCATATGTAATGGTAAGTGAATACTATATGACTAACCTTTTTCATCTTTTCCATTTACATGTATATCTTCAGATGCAACAACTTCATGATCTTGTTCCTTTCCGTAGTCCTTTCGACCAGCATCTTCCGTAGATTTCTCTCCTTCAGTTTTCATTTCAACTTCTTCTGCATCATTCCATCAGAACATTATACATACACATTAACATATTTCGAGCATTTCAAATGCTGAACCCACTAACCTTTGTCTTCTGTTGCAGGAACTACACGATCCGGTTCCTTCAAATCATCAGCGTGATCAAATCCTTGCACAGGTTTACCCTCGACCGTGTTATCTTCTTCTGAAACAGTACACTCCAGCATCATCCTAAGTAGCTTAACATGTAGAACATTTTAGCATTAACTCAAATACAAATTCAGACACACACCTCGCAAACCGGAAGTGTTGTTGTTCCCCATTTCATTCCCCATGTTCAAAACACCAAGCCCTGAATATATTGAACCTTAAGGATCAATGCCTGTGATAGCTAGAAACTTTGCTTTTGAAGTATATGAACTAAGGGGGAGAGCCTAATTCAAAAAAATATAAAACATTTCCAAGAAAAGACCCTTACCATGATGATGATGATATTCACATGCACATAACGAAAAAACATATGAGTACGGATTGTGATGTCTTTGAGACCTGCCAGGGTGTTCACAGCAGTTGATGAAAATGGTGACACTTCATAGGTATTTTGCTTAAAGCATAAGCCTAAGAGAGAAGGGTCCCTCGTCAGCCTAATTGATATAAAATCTGACTAAAGTTGCTCAGCATTTGCCTTATATTTCTCCTTTCCTTTTTGTGAGACATGGACATTATTCTTGATTTTTTTTTTTACATAAAACTATGTTGTTGTTGTTGGATTATTCTTAAATGGGATTATTCCAAATTCTAGGCAATCTTAGAGGAACCAATAGGTTAATCTAAGCCTTTTTCTAGGCACTCATTGCTGTATGTTCAGCAAATATAGGTGTTTAGCTCGTCTATGTTGTCCCAACTCTTCATTTTTCTTGAAATACTCGTAACAGACACTCGTGTTTGAAGCATATTTAGGCATAGATACAAGGATCATTCAAATACATGAAAATCTTCTGAAATTATTAATATCAGCCATATATTCGAGTAAAATATATAGATTTTAATTAATAGTTTAGTCTTATGAACAGGTAAATTTATGGGTTTTTTTCCAGGAGGAACATGTTGGAAACGCCAAATGAGTTGGATGTGTAAGTCGTCTGATCAAAGACAGTTGAGAGAAATGTAATAAGAAAAAACCTGATTTTGTTCAGAAATATTGATAAAAAGCATAAGAAAAAAGGCCCTACATGGCTGTGCAGAGTTGAACTTTATGATAAAAAACGATAGTCCATATGAATTAGTCTTTCATCACATTGACAGATCTTCAGCATCTAATCCACTCAACATTATATTATATATATACATATATATAAAAGGGTTTTAAGCAATATATTGAACTGGTATTGGCCAGCTTAGGGTATCTAACAATTCTTTTACACAGTAATGGGTTAGGGAATAATTGTTGTGGTAAGGCCATAAAGAGGCGTGGGTCTTTTGTTTTAGTTTTTGGTATAATCACTCGGTATTTTCGGACATAATAAAGATTCATTTTATCAATTTAACTTATTATATTTATAAAACTATCATTCAAACCATGAAAAATATTTAAAGAATTTAACGTCTTATCTTATTAGATAAACTAGTAATTAATTAATGCACATAATTGACTACATATATTTGAGTGGTTATATGTAATTCTTTTATAAATCTTTTACCTATGAACAAGCTCAAAAGCTAAGTGTAATTGGACCCATTTCATCTTCTTTTTCTCTAATTGAGGGGGGAATGGCAGGAATATGGTGGGTGGGGGGTATCCACCATAATAATTTCTTTAACTAAAGATTTAGACTTTGAAATGATTGCACCATTTGGGGGATGGATTGGGGGCAAGAGTTTGCCTTTATTAAAAACTTAGTCAAGCTTTTTGTGCAAAAATTAAGGGCTTTTGAGGTGGCATATGAATCAATAAAACATACCATTAAAGAAACTTTAAGCTTTGATTATAGATATCCAATATTAGATATTGTCACAAAATATTGAAATTGCTTTTTTAATTCCATAGATGAATTGAAATGTGCACGAATCATTGAATTAAAATGTGTATTGAGTTGGCATTCAACATACACATTTTAAAAGAATTAAATTAGATAAATAATGATAATACAAATATGATGTGTTTAAAAATTATTTTAAATAAATTTTAATCGACGAAAATTGTAGTATATGTTCAAAGATTTTCATCCCTTTGACAATGAACGTTCATATCCCTGCATATACGGTGCTAAAACCAAAGACCTAAAGGGGTAACAACAAATCCCTTAATCATTGAGGTAACTTGGTTTGGACTCCTTTTAAAGTTCAAATCCAGAAATTAAGGATAGGTTAACTTCGTTAGAAATAAACATGAGCTCTCGTCACTTTGAGCAATCTCAACAACGGAGATGATACAATTTTCTTTTGTACTTGAAAACATTTCGACAATCCATGTTTCTTCATAAGAAAACAACAACCCTCATGTTCAATGGCTAAGGGCAGCAATGGTGGATGCCTCAACAGGCATCCGAATTACAAGGAGGCAAAGTTTCGTGTCTATATGAAACAGTGACTCGTATTGTTTTATTGAAGAAATCTGGACGGAAACACTTCACAAGGTCCAGGTTATGTACTGGTGATGTATATAAATATGGTGTTTAAGGTTTCATCTAAGAAGGAACGAGTTCCGGAATTCTGCCATCCTCCGACGGCATTAAGCTGTCGTAGTACTCGACCGGCACTTGCCAACTACCGGGGCACATAAATCCTGCAGGAGACTTCTCTTTGTTCTTTGCCAACAGGAAGCACCTGTTTTTGTATTAAGTTGTGCTCGAAAACAACGACGTTAAAATCTCGTGTCATTTCAATCGTCAACTAAGATAAACTTCATTTTTAACTTTTTACTTATTTATTTTTAATGATCTGGAGTGATTAAAAGATATTATGTGTTTAAATTCTTACTTAACTACTAACATACATCCTACTAAACCACCTAATTCACTTAATTAGTTCACGTCATCAACTTTTGTATTAAGGCTGTACAAGTCAATATTATTAATGCTAATACTTTAGTCCAAATCATTCATAGCAACAAAATATAACAGACAATTAAATTTTCATTGATACAAGTTCAATTGGATGTAATTTTTCTATGAAAGTTTAATTATTTTTTATTAGATATTTTTTATACCTCTAAACTAAAATAAATATACGAAAAAGGTTTTCTATTGAATATTATATTTTAAACAAAAGGCTTTATAAATAATTGTTTGAGAATTCCGACATGGTGGCCGGATATGAAGAACGGCCGGTGGCCGGTGTTTGCATGTAAGTAACAAAACTACTGCTATATAATTAGCGATTTAGACTTTGCTAAAAGGAAAAAATATTAACAATGTATTTAAAAAATAACGTGGATTGTAATACATGGGTTGAAGCCTACTTACAACCATTGGGTTTATATAACCCTAAATCCATAACTAACTATTAACAAACCTAACAAATTAACTAATTACAATTGACTCAATCTTATACTCTAACAAATTGGTTCTTGAAATTATATTCAAACTCACATTTTTGTCATAAATTCTTTTTCCACACAAGCGACTCTTACAATTTATTCTGTCATCATTTTTACCTCTTTCAAGACACTATTTAAAAATTACCTAGACCTTCTTTAAAAAATTGATGAGTAACATATGAAGGATCAAATTAGAAATAAAGTATAGTTAAAGTGTCAAAATAGGGGAAAAATTAAAAAGATGTTTGCAGTATATTTGTTTTCTCATGATTTTCTCTCGTTTCGCCATCTTCTTTGGATTTCAATTGATTTTAAGATGTTTTCCAAAAAAAAATTAAAAGGGTCAAGGACATTTAATTAATTAATATAATATCATGTAATAAATTACTGAATTATTTACTGTGCAATGAATTACTGAATTATTTATTTTACATTTAATTATCATGTAATAAATAGGAGTTAATTGCATTATATGTCCGCAAACTATAATCATCGTGTTAAATTGGTCCTTAAACTTTTGAATATTTTAATTCCATCACTGAACTATGAATCCCATTCTAAATTAGTCCTTAAACTTTTGATTCTAATTTCATTCCTAAACTATGACCCTATTTCTAAATTTGTCCCCAAACTTTTGAATATTCGATTTTCATCCCCAAATTCATCCAAATATGTAATTAGTTTCAACCATAGTTTAACCTATTTTTTTAAACATATAATAATATAACTTGACCTAACGATTTTATTAACAAGGGACGTGATTAGTACATACATATAGTTTGGGATGAAATTGGAATGTTCAAAAAGTTTGGGGAGAAATTTAGAATGCATTTCATAGTTTGGGGATTAAAATAAAATGTTCAAAAGTTTGAGGACTAATTTAGAATGGTACTCAAAGTTTAGGAATAAAATTGGAGCATATAAAAGTTTAGGTACCAATTTAATATGAGGGTCATAGTTTGAGGACATGTGATGCAATTAACTCAATAAATAGTTAACTTTGTTCATAGACTTAATTAATTTACATAATATCAAAGAAGATAACATACGCTGACATGGCATAACTCCTTCCCACAATCTTTTTTTCCGGTAATCATAGCAGACTACTACTGAATTTTGAAATCAAGCGGGAAGCGACTCTTGAGTTCTCTCCCCACACATCAAAAAGCGGATCTCAAGCGTTGTTTAAACGGAATTTAACAACCTTCTCGCCCCCATTTCCCGCCCCCTATAAATAAGAGGTTCTTCGTTAATTCACTCTCATTTTCAAATCAAAATCTCCATTCCCTTTGTTATCTGCAACGAAGATGATCGGTACTCTCAAGTAAGTTTCAAATTCAACATTTTTTTTTTCAAATTCTAGTTCCTCGTTTTTTTTTTCTTTCTTTTTCTTGTTTGAATCGTAATTTGAAATTTGCATGAAAAAGCAGAGCCGAAGAAGCGAGCCAGTTACAGTTGGTGGAGCGAGAAGATGTCGATGACGAAGAGGATCTGTTTGAAGCCATCGACAAATGTAAACTATTTTGAATCTTCAGATTCTCACTTTGTTTCTTTATGAAATTTGTGATTCTATGTCGCCCTGAACTCGTTTTGAAGATCTTTGAGTAATCTCTGCTAAGGTTTCGTGATCTTCTCATATCAGATTTTACGTTTTCTTAATCTTCATTTTGAGCTTATATTTTAGATTTGGATGACTTCGTATTTTTTTTCTTTTTCGATATGTTTAAGTTGTCAATGTCACGATTTCTTTATATTTTAATAGCTTGATTTACTACACTAATCTAGAAGTTATATTTTGATCGTTTTGGGCTTCAGATCAGCGTTTTTCTCTGTTTCAAGTTGTAAATTGTAATATACAAGAGTTTGTTCGTTGATGTCGTTTGTAAATCTTTTGTTGAAAATACATTAATGTGAATTTGAACACTTCTCTTAGTTGTGTCATCGGATTTATCGTTTTCCAAAGGAGATCATAGATTTTTAGTAATTTTATACTCTTTAATGAGATGATGCTCAACGAGCTTTTCAAAATGTCATATTTGAACAGTAAAATTTCTTTTCGGTGCAGTGATATCTGCAGGAATCAATGCCGGAGACGTGAAAAAGCTTCAGGATGCAGGGATCTACACCTGTAACGGTCTGATGATGCATACTAAGAAGGTAGATTCAAATTTAATTAATCTGATTGGAGTTTTTAGTATTTATGAGGGGAACTGTGTTTTTAAAATATTGTCATATATTCACGTCTTTTGCAGAACTTGACTGGAATCAAAGGTTTATCTGAAGCTAAGGTCGATAAGATCTGTGAAGCAGCAGAAAAGATAGTGGTTAGTGGAATTCATCTCATTGATTTTGTCCTTTTATTTCTTTTGACAATTGTATAATTTCTATTTCTCTTTCATGTTTTATTTACAAGAACTTTGGTTATATCACCGGAAGTGATGCTTTACTAAAAGTAAGTTTCAGATTTCGAGTTTTAAATTTACTTTTCTCATTTCATGTTTTTAGTTTATGTTAAAACTGATCTCGATTTGGGTATTCTTGCTTTTGGTTTTGTAGAGAAAATCTGTGATTCGCATCACAACCGGAAGCCAAGCCCTTGATGAACTCTTAGGCGGTAAGCGCTTTTCTTTTAAGGGAGATACATTATATAGTAATATTTTAGAGTTCTCTGAAAATGATTTTATTAATAAACTTTAAAGGTGGAATCGAAACTTCGGCTATCACAGAAGCTTTTGGAGAATTTAGGTAAGAACAATAACTAGTTTACCATTTTCTTCTTTATTGATATTAAATACTAATATCGTTTGCTTGCTAATCATTTTTAACTTGTCTCCTAATCTACGATGTTGATTTAGGTCTGGCAAAACACAACTGGCACATACTCTATGCGTTTCTACACAGGTTTTTATCTCACCTCTGTGATCCATGATTTAACCTGATAATTTTGTTGATTCTTAGAAAATGGGGTTAAAAGAAAGAAAACAAGACTAGAGCTAACCTTATACTGTGTTTACAGCTTCCTACAAACATGCGAGGAGGAAATGGGAAAGTTGCTTATATTGATACTGAAGGAACTTTGTATCCTTTTTTGTTTTTAGGACAATGCAACAAGCGTTTATATACAAAATTCTTTTGTATTTTAGTTTCTCGTCTGGGACGTATCTAAGAACAGGGTGTTTTCAAAGTGTTTCCTACTAGATTCACTTTATTCGTTTTCTTTTAACTACCTACATTTGCAGCCGGCCTGATAGAGTTATACCAATAGCGGAAAGATTTGGGATGGATCCAGGAGCTGTTCTTGACAATGTAAGAGCATCGATATCAATATATCATCAATTGAATTGTAGAAATAGGTTTTTCAAACATTTTTCTTATTTTCTATTTATGTCAAAGATCGTTTATGCTCGTGCGTACACATACGAGCATCAGTACAATCTGCTTCTGGGTTTGGCAGCAAAAATGTCTGAAGAACCATTTAGACTTCTGGTGAGCCTTGTCGATAACATCATTCGATAATGCCTGACATCATGGACTCTGTTTGATGATGTTTGCTCGTATTTTCAGATTGTGGATTCTGTTATTGCTCTATTTCGAGTAGATTTCACAGGGAGAGGAGAACTTGCCGAACGCCAGGTTTGTCTCGAAAAAGCTTATTACAACTCTTAAATATTTGTGTTTGAGATCTATCTCCTCTTTCATCAACTTAAATATTTTCAACTTAAATATTCTGTTATTGGCAGCAAAAATTGGCTCAGATGCTCTCCCGGTTGACAAAGATAGCAGAAGAATTCAACGTAGCAGTCTACATGACCAACCAAGGTTCGACCTTTGATCAGTCCGGTTTACCTCTTTACTACAAGTGCAGAACAAGGGATAGTTAGCGAATTTGTATTGAACTTTTACCAGCTGAGGGGAAACTACAAGTTCAACGCTAAACTATATGTTATTATGGTGTGTTTGTTGCAGTTATTGCCGACCCCGGTGGCGGAGTGTTTATATCAGATCCAAAGAAACCAGCCGGTGGGCATGTGCTAGCCCATGCAGCCACAATAAGGTTGATGTTCAGGAAAGGCAAAGGTGAACAGCGCGTGTGCAAGGTGTTCGATGCTCCAAATTTACCGGAAGCTGAAGCAATATCCTTTGACTGTTACCTTTTTTTTTTTTTTAGTTTTAGACCTTTTCTGATTGAATCGAATCACTTAAACGATTGTGTCAGATTGCTACAGGTATTTGTTTTGGTTATCTCCTTAACGGAAACACGTGTTTCAGATAACAGCAGGGGGTATTGCAGATGCAAAGGACTAGGCTTAGAGGTGTTCATAGACCAGCAATGGCAGCAGCTACAGTCAGACAGGTCAAAGTAATATACCAACATCTTTTCTATAACTATTAGAACAACATGCAGTTTTTTGTTTAATTGAGTGTTTATAGTCCTTCGTATAACTATGATTTGCCTTCCCATTCGTATATTCCATACGTTTGGTAAGTTCTTTTATATGGGCAGACAAGATTCACTAAAGGGGAATTGCAGGACACTAAAGATAAAGCTCATATATTTTATGACATGCTTGAAAGGGATTATGTTACTACAAAATCCATTAATATTTGAAACCTATTCGAGGTATGAACAAATCTAATTAGTAGTAGAACTGTTTTTAATTATACGAATCATACAGCATCGCGGTCAAACAAAGGTTGGTGGAAGATTTTTTAATAGGATTAACTACACTTATAGTCAATAAGACAAAATTATCGATAAGTCATAAGGTGATCACCTTATATCTAGCACATTAACAAAAAAAAAAGATTGATATTTAATTTGATCCTTAAGTTATAACTAAAATTTCAGTTTAGTACTTCAACAAACTCTTATCAACTCCTGATAACCTTACATCCTAATAATTTGCTTTCCAAAGTTAATGTTAGATTGTGTAAGCCAAATATGCCATTACGATTGTTGAAAATATTTTGTGAGAGTTTCCGAAAACTCAAGATGAAATCGGCGTCATTTGTTTTAAGCTAGGTATGATCAAATACCTTTAAACTTGGTTTGTATTTAATATCATGATCAAAATTGGGCTTGAGGATTGGTTACGCATGAAAATTAGAGCACTCTCATGATACCTAAAATCGACACTTTTAAATAAATCGAATGTTAACCTTATATTTAAATGAATAATGATCTAATAAACTAATTAATAAATTACAAAAAAAAGAACTTACAGGGAGCAAAATGATAATTAATCTGAAAATATGACTAAATTGAATAAAATCAGAAATAAAAAACAAAATACCAATTAAACAAAAAAATTATAATAAATAGAAGATGGAAAGATAGCATAAATAAAGATAATTATTTGATACAAATACAAGAGTGATGTAGATTTTCACTCCACAATCAACTCTAATCATGATCCATCGTTATGTATCTTTATTTTTAAAAATATGAATCAATAGCATATAGTTTAAATTAAATCGTTTATAAAAGGAAACATCATTTTAAAATAAATTTTTAATGATAATATATCAAATAATAATCTATATTATTATAAGATCAAATTAGCAGTTGAAACCAATCTTTCAATCATGGCATATTGTGCAACACCTCCACCATCAATATAAAAATGGTGTGGACCAAGCTGGATTAGGTTAAAATGAAAAACAAAAGGGTTGGTGGAGGAATTTTAACTTTTTATAGTATAAGAATCAGCATCTTTAGACTTCGATCAGGTCTTCTCTCTCTCTCTCTCTCTCTCTCTCTCTCTCAATAACAGGAAACTTCAGTCAAGTTCTAGCTTGGTTTGAAATGGAGAAAGTGCCCCAAATTCAACATCCAAGAGTCAAATTAGGTAGCCAAGGATTGGTGGTAAGCTCCATTGCTTTACTCTTTCACTAAATGGAACTTAGCTCAATTCTTTGCTTAGTCATTTATTATACTAGGTTAATCGGATACGGTCAAGAATGGATCGAATAGATGGAAGGGTAATCTTTTCTCTGAAATTTTTAAATTTTTATATAATTTAGATATTTTCTTTATATTTTTTATATGAGTATCGGATATGAGCATGTGACTGTAGTCTCATAATCACAGTACTAAAATGCGGTTGCAGTCGTAGTTAAGGTTGAGGGTGTAACGAATATTACGATGTGATTTGTTTCTTAAAAACAACTAAAATTTTATATTGTGGATGCAATTGCAGTCTCACGGTGTCTTTGAAAATCTGTACGATGCAGCCATTACATTGTGTTGCGGCCACAATTGAATATTGTGCTCGTAATATTCCTACATATCTTACATGTGCAGGTTTCGAGATTGGGATTCGGATGTGCGGGACTTACAGGAGTGTTTAATGCTCCTTTATCCCATAAAGATGGATGTTCAGTCATAAAAGAAGCTTTCAACAGAGGTATCACCTTCTTTGATACATCTGATGCTTATGGGGAAGAACATGACAATGAGATCATGCTTGGCAAGGTAGTGGCTTTTGTACCCCCAATCACCATTTATAAATTCTGTGTTTCATCATCAAATTCATTTTCTATGCCCTGATAGGCACTGAAGCAGCTTCCCCGAGGCCAGATTCAAGTAGCAACTAAGTTCGGTGTAATCAAATATGAATCCGAGGGGAGTCGGGTATATGAGATCAGAGGAACCGCCGAGCATGTTCGAGCTTGCTGCGAAGCAAGTCTTAAGAGGCTTGGTGTGGACTACATTGATCTCTACTTTCAACATCGTGTCGATACATCGGTGCCCATAGAAGAGACGGTAAGTATCAAGAGATCGTTTCATTAGTATTCTTTTCTTTTAGCTTAGCTTCAATGCAACATATGCCTCTGTTGATTGCTTTGCTTATTCCAAAGATTGGAGAGCTGAAGAAGCTTGTGGAAGAAGGCAAGATAAAATACATTGGATTATCAGAAGCTAGTGTCGATACGATAAAGAGAGCACATAAAGTCCATCCCATCACTGCTTTACAAATGGAGTATTCGCTCTGGACTCGTGAAATCGAAGATGAAATACTCCCTCTTTGCCGGTATACCTATATTACGCCTTTGTGTTCCTGTGATACTTGTATTGCTTTGAATCATAAATTGCATAAATTCTTGCAGAGAGCTTGGAATTGGGATAGTGGCATATAGTCCCCTTGGTAGAGGCTTTTTTGGAGGGAAGGTAGTTGTGGAACCTATGCCCATTGGGAGCCAATTGGTAATCGGACAAGCAACTAATTCTAGCCTTTTTTTTTAAGTGAATATGTCATGATGAGTCCCAACTCGTCGGACCATGTCGTGGCATATAGTCTGATGAGCCAGGCCGAGTCATGACAATATATATAGAACATCAGATTTCAAGAATGGGTTATTTTCTGGAACAGGCAAACCAGCCAAGGTTCATGGGGGAGAATCTAGAGAAGAACAAAGTTCTATATACCCGAGTTTCGAGCCTAGCTATAAAGCATGCCTGCACGGTTCCTCAACTTTCTTTAGCATGGATTCTGCATCAGGGAGATGATATTGTCCCAATCCCTGGTATTATGATTACTTGAGTCATTTTGCCTCGTATTATACTTAGATTGACGTGGTTTTGCTCTGCATCGTTGTTTCGAATTTAGGGACGACTAAAGCGAAGAACATTATTGACAATGTCGGATCCCTGGCGTTGAAGGTTAAACCAGAAGATTTGAAAGAAATTACTGATGCTGTGCCTCTTCATGAAGTGAGTGGAGGATCAGATTTAGGTATACTCTATAAATACTGTTGGAAGTTTGCAGATACTCCATTAAAGTGAATGAAATGCATGTTCAGGCAGTGATTCTGGACTTGATAATCTCCCTCGTTATCGAATTTGTGTATTGTAATGATTGATTTTTTTATAACAGCGACTTATTATTGCTTCCGAGTAGTGTAATCTTAACGACAAATATCGAGATTATGTTACCTCGTCTCTTCATAATTATGGGCACGATTAAGGATGATAAATGAAAAGGATTAGGGTTTATTTTGTTCAAATAGTTTTCAACCTTTTTTCATTTACTAGGCACATCCCTTTAAACAACAATTTGTGATTAACAAATCAAACAATTATACAATCCAATTAAAATAATGTACATGTAACATAAATCCATCTCAAATTGATTTATCTAATTCCAAAAAAGCATCATTTGGAAACACAATCCTAATCATTTTCAACTAGAATCTGACCCAAATCTTTTGATCCACTTAGTCTAACGCACATTATAATAACATATAACGTTACAATCATAGCCCCACAATGTACAACAATACCCTAAATCCAAGAGCCAAAGGTCCAAATTTAAAAATAAAAAAGACAAAGTGAAAGCTTTAGTTCACATGAATATATACATACATAAAGCAAAATGAGATTTCTTTCTCTTTTTGACCATCCCTAGTCCAAAGATACTCCAAAAGTTCATTTCCACAACAGTGAAAAGAACAAGCAATTTGGAAAATCACATGGATCTGGGATACTTTGACGACATCTACATAGATGTTCTAATGATGTTTGAACGTTTATTGTCTAATCATTAATTCTTTTGAGCAAAACACTATTTCATAATCATCCCATTTTAATAAAAAAAACTTCAATTTTTTATAGTTCAAAAATGAATGAAAAGAAGAAAATGCTCACTAATCCATTCTTTTTTCTTTGATTTCCAACTTCTTTTACAATATTTAAACACCCAAATATCTAATTTGAGACCCTAAACTGCCTAAACCCGACCAAATATGTATACCCTCTTTTGTTGTCAAGTTTTCTCAAACCCCAAACTTTTTTTTCACACCCTATTCCTAGTGTTTTTCTCAGCAGCAACGGAGAGCAGCCTTGACACACCTAGGGTCCATATATCATACTCTCTCTGGCTCTTGCACTCGAACTCAACCACGCCGCGCATCACCGTCTTCATCCCAAAGTATCTCCGATTCTCCCCGCCCTCTAGCAAGTGCCGTCCGGGCCACGCCGGCATATCTTTAATCACCTCCAACACCACATCTGCCCAAAAAAAGATTATTGTAATGTGAAAGACAATCCCTTTTGATCCTTTTACTTTAGTGACACTCTTTTGCTTTTCTCAAATCCCCAAAATTGGAACAAAGAATTCATATTATTAGAGAAAAACAAAGGCAATCAATCACTTACTCTTTTTCTTTTTTGTTATGGTCCCAGCAATATGCCTGCTCTTCATCTTTAGCATAACCTTAACAAAAAGAAGTTTCAAAAGAGTTAACGAAAAGAAAACGATCACACAGATTTGCGTGAAAATTTTACGGGAAGAGAAGAATAAATTCATTATAATCGACGATAATATTCCGAGAAAAACACCTGATTCATTCTGTTTATGTAAAC